GACCCCTTACATAAATATGATTTTAACACCACCGTCGTGTATACCCGAACAGATTAGAGACACGTATATGTAAGAGGAATGCAGGGGAAGGAGGAAATAGACGCTGATACAAAAAGGCCAATAGAAAGACAACACGTGGAAGGTGGCACGGGAAGTATTTTCAAAAGAAGAAGCATGCGAAGCAAAATGAAAAATGTTCGTTTTAACGACTTTGTAAGGGATTAGCGGGAAATATAAATAGAAAAAGGAAAGAAGAAAAAAAGGGTCTGGAAGTTTTGTTTCTTTCTCTCTCTGCTTGCATCTTCTATCCAAATTGTTGTTGAATTTGTTTCTGTATTCATTGTTGATATTCTTCAGATTCTTTTTGCTATTTAGGATCGTAATTGGATTGATTCCCTTCTCCAATTGTTATAATAAACCTTAAGCTGTGTTTCGGTGTACCATTGGTTATAACTCTTTCATTGGTGCTTTCATCACTTCTCATGGCGGAGAATACTCGTATGAAGGAAATACAAGCCGAACTTTCACGTATGAAGGAATCTACCTCCGACGTCAAGCAATTGGCCAATTCGATTGCTGCTACGGATCGCGACTTGAAGAATTTGATTGCAGCGCTTAATGATAAACAGAGAGATGATTCTACTCGATTTGAAACAATAGAGACATCCATGGACGCTATGCTCACATCACTTCACAATTTGGAAACAGGTTCACGTAACCCGCAACATCCTGCATCATTTCAGGTCCGTAATGTCAAGCTTGATTTCCCTAAGTTCGATGGCTCCGATGTGTTACAATGGATTTTTAAAGCGGAGCAGTTTTTTGATTATTACAATACTCCTGATGCACAACGTTTATTGATTGCTTCCATGCATTTAGAAAAGGATGTAGTTCCATGGTTCCAAATGCAGTCCAGAAACAATGCTTTTTCGTCGTGGTTAGCATTCACTCGCGCTTTGGAATTGGAATTTGGACCCTCACCCTATGAATGCCCTCGCTCGGAATTGTTTAAACTCACAGGTTGATTCTGTTCAAGACTATTACGTCAAATTTGTTGGGGAAAACCAAACACAAGAACACAATTATCTAAAGTAAGCAGCGGAAACAATTCCTCAAACTTGCAAGAACCTGTGAGGAGGAACAACAATAACAAATGGCAGCAACAAATACAAGGACACAGAGAATTATTTACGTGAGAAAACCCTCTCAATGTGAGAAGTAAAAACCCACGGGCTCAAGCCAGTCAATCAAGCTCCACTATAATCAAATAAGGAGTACAGGAGTGTTCAATCAAGTGCACAAATTCGTGCAAACAGCCAGCCAAAATCAACAGAGCAATAAAGCCTACAATGAAGGATCAAAGAGAGAATATCTCACAAAATAAGACTACTGTTCAGATACAATTTCTCTCATCCAAAACTTCCAATCGACGATCCCAGCGGTCAGAATGAAGAAATATACGTCTGGGAACTACTGTCAAAGTTTCAGCTCAATCCAACGGTTAACTAAGGAGAAATAATGATTTCTCAGCAGCTGGTCTGTGCAGAGTCACCAAAAACAGGGCTTCTGTGCGAAGACAATATCTCCAACTTCAGACCTCCAATCGACCATCCGAACGGTTATAACGAAAAGCACCGTGTTATAAACCTGCTGTAAAATTTCCCGATCCAACGGTGAACGAATCGGATATCAAAGAAATGGAGTAACTGGTCTGGAGCTTCTTTTCTTCCCTCACTTCCCTTCTCTCTTTTTGATGCCTCTCACCGAATATACTTACACTAGGCTGCGAAAAAATGGACTTCCCTCACCCACTCCACTGACTTCTCACTTCCCTCAATTAAGTGTAGAAAATGAGCTTGAAAATTTGGACTTTTTCGACACATCGTTGGGAGTCCAACCCAACAAAATTTACGGCTCTGGCCAATCGTGTACAGGGAGTTACCACTGAGGCACTATTGGATTGCTTCGTAGGAAGATTGCAGCATGACATTTGTCGGGATGTATTGGTTCAAGCGCCGACGACATTGATGAGATGTGTATCATTGGCAAAACTATTTGAGGAGAAATATCATATGAAAGGCAAACCAAATGCGTTCAATTACTCTACCAAAACGCAATCATCGGTTACAAATGGCCCCGCGCAATCACTTAAGTCCACTGCGTTGCCACCATTATTACCTAAACCCAATCCAAATGCATTACAAAGATCTGTTGCTATAAAGAAAATGTCTCCGGCAGAGGTTCAATTGAGGCAGGAGAAAGGTTTATGTTTCACCTGTGATGATAAGTACACCCTTTCCCACAAGTGTCCAAATAAACAATATCTCTGGTTGCATCTAGACGAGGAAGGCAATGATCCACCACCTGCTCCAGATTCAGGGACAGACAATGAGCATACAAAACAACAATTCCCAGCTGAATCACATCTATCCTTTAACGCCCTTAAAGGCTCAGCGGGCTTGGGCACCATGAGGTTTACAGGGGCTATAAATGGGTTACCAATCCAAATTCTCTTGGACAGTGGGAGTTCTGACAATTTCTTACAACCAAGGATTGCTACTTGCCTTAAATTGCCAATAGAACCAATTGACAATTTCAATGTCATGGTGGGTAACAGCAGTGCCTTGGTAGTGGAAGGATTCATCAAGAAACTAGAGGTCACAGTCCAGGACCATATAATTCAGCTGCCAGTGTATCTTCTTCCTATCTCCGGGGCGGATTTGGTGTTGGGAGCTTCCTGGTTAGCCACTTTAGGAGCTCACATTGCTGACTACAGCACCTTAACTCTGAAATTCATGTTGAAAGATGACTTTGTTACATTGACGGGTGCACAATCTAAGCTTCTGGCTCAGGCACAATTTCATCACATACGCAGAATGTTTCATACCAAAGCCATTGATGAACTGTATTCCCTCCATTTTCAACCCTCTCAGAATGTCCAGGATCAATTTCTTAAATTACCTGTAGATACTGAACTTGAGATTTCTCTACTGCTGCACACATACAAATTCGTTTTTGACATGCTTTGTGGGTTACCTCCACCCCGGTCTCACAATCATGCCATTCCTTTCAAGCATGGTTTGGATCCAGTGAAGGTGAAACCGTACAGATATCCTTTTAGCCAAAAGCAACAGATTGAAAAAATGGTGCAAGAGATGCTGCAAGATGGAATCATTGTCCCTAGCAATAGCCCTTTTTCATTCCCAATTATCTTGGTGAAAAAGAAGGATGGTACTTAGAGATTTTGCACGAATTATAGAGCTTTGAATGCAATTACAGTGCAAGATAGTTTTCCAATCCCCACTGTTGATGAACTCATTGATGAGTTACATGGAGCCCAATTTTTTTCCAAACTGGATCTCAGATCAGGCTATCACCAGATTCTTGTTAAGGAAGAGGACAGACATAAAACAGTCTTTAGGACACACCAAGGCCTGTATGAATGGCTGGTTATGCCTTTTGGGCTAACCAATGCTCCAGCCACCTTCCAAGGCCTAATGAATGAAGTTTTCCAGAAATTGTTGAGGAAATGTGTCCTTGTGTTTTTTGATGATATCTTGGTGTATAGTTCCTCTTGGGTCAATCATCTTCAACACTTAGAAAGGGTGTTACAATTGCTACAAGAACATAAGCTCTTTGCCAAACTTTCTAAATGTTCCTTTGCTAAGCAGCAGATAGAATATTAGGGGCACAAGGTTTCAGGCAGTGGAATTGCTATGGAGGACAGCAAAGTCCAAGCTATTTTGGCTTGGCCTTTACCTGCTAATCTCAAACAGTTAAGAGGCTTTCTTGGTATTACAGGTTATTATAGACGCTTCATCCAGGGGTACGCTACACTGGCTGGCCCACTCACTGACTTACTCAAAAAAGACAAGTATCAATGGTCTAATGCAGCCACCTTGGCATTCAATACACTGAAAACTGCACTCACTGAGGCGCCTGTCCTGACATTGCCCAATTTTTCCCTACCTTTTCAATTGGAAACAAATGCTGAGCAGTATTAAGCCAGAATAAGCATCCTATTGCTTATTTCTCCAAGAAAATGTCTCCTTCTATGCAGAAACAGTCGGCATATGTGAGGGAGCTATATGCTGTAACTGAAGCAGTAGCTAAATTCCGTCATTATTTGTTAGGCCACCAATTTGTGACAATGAAATTCCTCCTCTCATTCAGCCCTTGACAGTGCTGCAGAAGCGAGTTATCATTAGGGGCGATCAACAAATTCCACAAGTGTTAATGCAATGGGAAAAAGGGTCAGAAGATGAAGCAACATGGGAAGACGTGGAAATAATAGAGAGGGTTTATCCACAGTTCAACCTTGAGGACAAGGTTGGTTTCGTTGAGGGGAGTATTGTAAGAGGAATGCAGAGGAAGGAGGAAATAGACGCTGATACAAAAAAGGCCAATAGAAAGACAACACGTGGAAGGTGGCACGGGAAGCATTTTCAAAAGAAGAAGCATGCGAAGCAAAACGGAAAATGTTCGTTTTAACAACTTTGTAAGGGATTAGCGGGAAATATAAATAGAATAAGAAAAGAAGAAAAAAAGAGTCTGGAAGTTTTGTTTCTTTCTCTCTCTGCTTGCATCTTCTGTCCAAATTGTTGTTGAATTTGTTTCTGTATTCATTGTTGATATTTTTCATATTCTTTTTGTTATTCAGGATCGTAATTGGATTGATTCCCTTCTCCAATTGTTATAATAAACCTTAAGCTGTGTTTCGGTGTACCATTGGTTATAACTCTTTCAGTATATGAGATAGTGAACACTCAAATGCTTATGTTGTTAATGCAGGAAAAATCAAGTTAATAATTTATAATTATTGTTCAACTGCGTTCCCCTCCAAAATGAAAGGGATAGAAGGGAAAGGATCTAACTAGCAGTTGCAATCAAATTCACCGTACAAGTTACTACCAGCAGTTCCGTGCTGGTTGCTACTACTCGGTACTCTCAACAAAAACGTAAGCAGAGGAATATTTATTTCGTTCTTGCATTCTCTCTCAATGGCTTGCTTGTCTTTAAACACCCTTGGCCTCCACAGATTCCCACCATGCTTACAAATCCCTCAACCTCTTCAATTCATTGCAAATCCATTGCAGCGTCACAAGACTCACAAAATCAAGACCTTCGCTTGCCAAACAAATCCCAACCTTGATGAGTCCTCAACAAGGGTATTTTTGTAATTTATAGTGCATTCATATATGTATATTCAGCATTTAATTATAATATTCAATTAAAATGAAATGGAATTATTTTTCACTTATATATTAAGACTGATCCTGTTAGGCACTTCTACGATTAATTTCGATAATTCATATTGATGTATCAAACTTGTTAACATTACTTTCTCAAATACATATACAATTTTTAAGCCTCCACTAATTCATTGGTCATCAGGTACAATTGCATCTATTATTTAAATTAAACAATATTATGCTCTTCTGGTCCTAGTCATAAAAAAGAAGTGTGACTATTTTTTTTTTATCTAAAATATACAAAATAAAGAGTCATTTTTAGATGCATTAATTACTAATTTTTTTATATTTTAATTTATTATAAGATTTATGTTAATAAAACACTTGTTTATTACCACAATTGAGACGTTCATTTAACGTACTAGTCATCAATTATTACTTAGATAATTTTAAAATACAGTATAAATTTATAGCATATAATTATTTTTTATTAATATTGATAAATTAGTTAATTATTTCTTCTAAAAAAATTGAATGTATTTAGCATTTTGTTTAGTACAAACTCAAGTCTAATTATTTAAGTATTATTAATATTGTTTATTAATCAAAATTAAAATTTCATCTTAACAGTACACAATAATGTTAAATACTAACTTTTTATTAACATAAAGCTTTAATTTTAATTCATAAACAGTACTTTTATCTTCTAACATTGACTAGTATAATTGAAATTGGATGCCTAATCTGCTCTAATATTTAAAACCCAGCGTCAGGAAAAATCCGTTGCTGAACCTAGCAGCATCAGGGGAACGAGTCCTCCAAAATTCCCAAGCAAAGACATCAAGAAGAAAATCGCCGTTGTTTCCATTTTAGCAGCTCTGGGACTTTTCTTTTCTACAAGGTTGAACTTTGATGTTTCTATGAAGGATCACTGTGTCCTTGCATTACCGTTCGAAGAGGTTTGTTTTCATGGACTCCCCATTTCTAAATTTCTCATTCTGTCTTGTATGTCACACTCAGAAACATAATTTGTTCTATGCCCAACTCCAATTTCATCAGCATACAAATAGTTCTGTTCCCAATTAGGAACCTTGTTTTGTTTTTCCGTGTGGCATGCGAATAAGGAAAAACTATTTCGTTGAAGTCCAGATTGACTTGAACCTTTTTTAAGACGTTTGGTAAAGAATATGGTAAAAATACTTCTTATAATGGACAACTTTTTTCTTTGACTTAATTAAAAGTAAATTATGTTCAAATTTGTAATATAATATTAAAGTCTATTCATTTTGATGGTTGAGCCATTAACAAATCTATGGTCCTACAAAAAGTTAGTGTTGGATATAAAGGAGCGTGTCAAGATGTGAGCAAGAGTATAATCAAAATACTTTTTATCAAGTTTAGATAATTCTTCTCTTATGAATTACCAAGCTTTTGATAATGAATTAAACTCAATTTCCTAATAAATTTAAAAAAAATTTAAGTCATTTGAATGACTTAATACTGTTTTATGTAATATTCTATATAGTTTTTTATTTTCATTTATTTTTTTATTTTCTACTATACACGTCTCAAAAATATATTTACAAAATCAAGGTTGTCTGGATCCAAAAACATTTTCGTTTAATTTTGGTCTTCATTCAGCGTTCAGTCAAACTTTTCTTTCCATATGCATTTGTTACATCATATCTGCTATTGATTCATTGGATTTGTACTTTGTTGTTGAGTGTTCCAGGCTCTGTCCAGTGGTAAGCCCATTGTAGTGGAGTTTTATGCAGATTGGTCTGAAGTATGTGGGGAATCAGCTCCTGATGTGTACAAAGTAGAGCAGCAGTACAAGTGATGGCTACTATTGCTGTTGATGCCTTCTGCAAAACTTAAAATTATTGTTCTTCTTGTGCCTTTTCATGTTCACTAATTTACTATCTTGACATTGCTGACATCTGAAAACAGGGACTGGGTGAAAACTTTGTGATGTTATTTGTCAATTCACATCAATAATGTTAGAAAACTCTGATAGTAGTACAAGAAGTTTTATTCAAATGGGTATCAAAATTAGTTGAAAATAGTGAATTTCTGAATTACAAGTGGATAGAATGGAAGATGTGCGGTACTTCATTTTCCAACTTCCAATTTTTTTTTTGTATTACTTTTCTATAACCTGACTGAGGACTTATCTCAGTGAACGCTTTTGTCAGCAAAAGATCAAGCAGTTTTTGTTAAAAAAGGGTAAAGTAAAAGTAGTGTGCTGCAGGTAGGACCTTCAGGAACTAAAAATTGAAATCGACATATATCCTAGTTTCCCTGGCTGATTGCTCGAACTGATACTATTTATTGTATAGCGGCACCTCAGCGATGTTTTTTATTGGACAAGATAACCTCTTGATGGAACTCTAATAATATAAATTTTAGTTTTCCTACAACTGAATGCTAGACATCAATGTGCCTCATGTCATACCAAATTTCGCTGAGTCAACTCTATTCGTTTCCCTCGCCCCCTCTTAACATAATTTTCAACCTTTTATTCTTTCTTTCAGTATTTGCCACAAAAATTGGCAGTTATGGGACTACGACAAACAATAAGAAAAACCATGAAGGTTACTTCTGCATTCTAATGGCGAGCCTTAATTTGAACGAAAGAACCGTAAAGCATTTCTGTCAATTTTTATTAATTCCTTGCACAACCGGTAAATGTAAAGTTAGGCCTACTGATAACATCAAGACTTTGGGAAGGGAGAGTTGTTGGATTCTTATTGACAAAAGTCCTCTCATGTATTCAATTTGCGTCAATATAGTCCCTTATAAGTTGAATTTGAAGTAAATCTTTATTACAAAAGAACTGGATTGGTGTATATTTATTGATTTGTATTTTGATTGGTGATGGGATAGACTGCCAAAATTGATAAATGAGAGACCAATTAATGATTGTAGTTTTTTTTATTTTTTTATCGTAGTTGCAATTGCTAATTAACTTTGAGCCTTTCCCTTAGACTAAAACTTTTATGGCTTACACGGAAACGGGGATAGGGAAGGAAAAGGAACATGGTAAGAATTTTAGCCATGACATAAAACAGAAAAGAAAAATGATTGGTGTAGTGTCACTTATTAGCTCATTGGGCTGGTTAACTTCTATATTTGAAACACATACAGCAAATAGCATTGTGATAGTTATAGATGCGTTCTTGCAGTCAATTCACCTAGCAACCTTCCCTAACTAACTTTACAGCCATAATTTTACACAGTATCTCTGCACGGTTCATTTCCTGTATGAATAGGGAATAGTGAAGTCTGTATATTGATTACTTAGGATTGATCGAACATATTGCCTTGGGCATTGTTTGTACGATTCAGAGAGGAGAATGAAACAAGAATCCTGATGCAAATCATACATCAAAATAGCTATTGACAACAACTGCAAAAGATAAAAAGAAAAATGCTAAATGCCTTGCCATTCAAATAACAGGTTTTCCACCCAAACTAAGTATACATGTCACTGAACTACATTTTCCAACAAGCTATTTGTTGAATGTGAGCTAGTTCCACTTAGCCAAGTATCATGCACGGATACAGGGGAGCTATCCTTCACCTCCTCTATTGATTGCAAAAATTTATCAGTCTTCCGAGAAATAATCAACGTGGGGTTCTCTTGTCCTGCAACTCTCTCAAAACTAACACAACTTAGTGAATTCTCACTTCCATTACGAGGCGATGAACACGCGGACCCAACAGATGAAGCCATGCATATAGTTTCCTCCATAGTTGCCCATCCACTGCGTCTTATGTGTTCTAGCTCCTCAGCTACTTCAGTCATAGTAGGCCTCATGTCACTATGAAAAGCAAGGCATCTAAATGCAAGCTCAGCCACCTTGTGAACAGAATAGAGGGTCCAAGCATCCCTATGTGGTTCAAGGAAGGGATCTATGATGTCATCTACACAACCCCTCCTAATCCTATCAACAGCAAGTGCAGCCAAATTAATCTCACTTTGAGGCCGACCGAAATCAACCACTTTCATTGCTGTTATTATCTCTATCAAAACCACCCCAAAACTGTAGACATCACTTTTATCAGAAAGGTGGAAGTTTTGGTGGTATTGGGGATCAACATAGCCTGGGGTCCCTTGTGGAGCAGTTGAGATATGTGATGTTTCTGTCATGCCAAGCCTAGAAAGTCCAAAATCAGCTACTTTTGATTGAAAACTATAGTCCAAGAGTATGTTACTGGATTTTATGTCTCTGTGATAAATTGGAGGGTCAATTGCAGAATGGAGATATGCTATAGCATTAGCAGTCTCGGTAGCAATGGTGAGTCTTATTGTCCACGGAAGCACTCCACCTCTCTCTCTTTGCAAATGTTGAGATAGGGTTCCATTTGGCATGTACTCATAAACAAGTATCTGCTCTCCCCCTTCTATGCAGCACCCTAAGAGGCGCACTAAATTTGGATGACTCACTGAAGATAGGAGTTTGATCTCGTTCATGACTTGGTCAACACTGTTGGTGTCTCTATACTTGATCTTTTTTATAGCAACACACTCATTATTGTGAAGGTTTCCAGCATAGACTGTGCCAAAAGCACCAGTTCCCAGCCTATGTTTTTCAGAGAAAAAATTTGTGGCTTTTTCTATTTCTCTGTAGGGATATAGAGGAACACTAGAGTTTCCTGCAGCTTCTTGTAATAGGCGCTTTACTGTCACTTGTTTTCTAAGCAAAGAGGAACGACGCTTGGCAAAGTAACATGGAAGAGATAGAATAGCAACCACGATAGCTGCAACAATGATCCCTGAAAACAATCATGCAGCTTTTGTTAAGATGAGTACAACTAAATCAATGATGTATGCAGATAATGGGAATAGAGAAATGATTAAATAAAGAAAACCCAAAAACTAGTTAGTGCCATGTCCTTCTTATAATTTGAAATTAGTGACATACATTTTATTCAATTTTCTCCAATTGTTGTTTATTTTGATATTTTTATTAAAGGTATGTATGCATTCAATTTTACACTATCTAATGATTTGCGTATGAAATGCATTTATCAGGTAATGATTGAATAAGAAATATTGAAACTATACTAGAAGTTGGTGAGGTTCTACCTCCAACAAGGACGCCAATTTTGATCGCTTTTCGGCATCCGTGAGACCATAGTTTTGAGGCAGTGCATTGAGAAACTGACAAGACAAAAACAGAAGGGATTAGAAAAGTGACTACAATAAAAAATAAAAGCTCACTTCTCCATTTTTTTACACCGCCTATAATTTTAATCCAGGCACCAAAATAATATATATTAACATCATTACATTATTCATATCTGAACCACAAAGTCGGTGAATACACATCCTATATCTGCTAACCCATTTGCAACAGCATCTGCCGTGTCTTCAATAATTTTCCTTGTTGATTGCTTCAAAGCAGATGTTTACTTGATTTAGTTTTCCAAGAACTCTCATCACACTCAATTTCTAGTGTCAGCAAAACGTAAAATGAGAAGCAACATGTGTCGGTGATATCCTGATCTCAGAAGTTACCGGTTAATGTTAGGTTCATTTCCTAATTCCTCACATGATAAATGTATTTGTCACTAATATAACCCTTTGACCACCAATAAATAAAATAGATTGAATAAATTCAAATACATCCGACCAGACATGTGCTTTACCTAATTTTGATCTATAAAAAAAATCCAAAGGGACTACCAGAACATGTTGACTTTTGAAGGACCCTCCAAAACAAGAACATACCAAGCAATGAACAGTTCTCATGCTTCCACATTCTCTTCAAAATCATGGGGTACCCAATCCCCCGTTAAGTTCAAAACTTTCTCAATAACCAATTACCAGAGAGAGAGAGAGAGAGATAGAAAAGAGAATCAATGCCACATGCATGATCTATATTGGTCCACAAGAATAAAAATAATGAACCTTAAGCTTAAATCGACGTACCATCCATGCCCCTAACAAATCAAATCTCGCCATTATGGACCTTGATAAAGCACACACCGATCTTCGAAAGATTCGCCAACTTAAAAAACACAACCCCAAAATTCCTCATACATACCCCTCCTACACCAGTATTACACTCAACCTGGTTGGCCAGAGCATAAAGCCGCACCCAGATGTCAAACACCACTCGGTCATCATTCAACAACTATAATTACCATCTACTGTTACTGTCATTATTATCATTAGGGAATTGCTAACGATTGATCTCAAGACTCAGTAAGGAGCATTACATGTACTCTTTTAAATACTTCTAATTATTTAAACGGGTAGGAATTAAATAATTTTTATATTTATAACATAATAAATACCTTTCTATCGATACAAGATTTATAATTGTTTCCTTAAATAATATCCTTAAAACATGGATTATAATTAACTTTTATCATTATTATTCCGCGAACAGTATGATAGTGCAATTAAGCAAATATAATAAAAATAAACGATGAGCTTTGTGGACTTTCTTTACATATCGGACAAAATTATAAGTACCTAGTGTTTGATTAATATTGAAATTTTATCCTATTGAACTTTATTATATGGATTACTCCAGTATTAATTGGGGAACAATACTCAATAACTCTAGTTTAGTACACAGGTATTGTTTTAATATATTGTTTTTACTAATTTATAAAATAAATTTTAAATTAAAAAAGTGCGTAGATAATGTTGAACTTTAATATATTTTACTAATTTAATAATCAAGAGTTTCTTTTTCAAGAATAAGAGGAGGTAGAATTAGAATTATTCTTGTTCTGTAGATTATACGGAGAGCAGAACTCACCTCTCCGGCAACCGTTGCCCTTGACGAATCCATCTCCAACGAAACCATCATCGCACCGGCACCGGAAACCTTGTTTTCCGCTACCAAGATGAACCTTTGCACAATTTGCATTATGGGAGCATTGACACGGCCCTTGAAGCCACCACCCCAACTCAACCACCTGAAACTGAAGCAAAATCTCTTTCACTTTACTCTCATGACGTGCAATAGCAGAGAACAAGAACTTGCACCCAATCTTCTCCCAGTCTAGGCGCGTGATAACATCTTCCCGCCATCTTCGACGCTGCAACACCGAGAAGCAACTAATATTCTCACTTCTTCTGTCACACCCCTCCAACTGATTGTTGCTGCCAACGAAACTCGACGTGGGAATAACGCACCCACCCAGCGTGGACCCACAACTCTGCACCAGAAAGGTATTGTTCCACGTGGGAGCAAAGTTGTGGCCGAAAAGAGGCTCTATGAAACTCACACTACGGTTACATTTTGCTGGAACACTAACGAATATGCTATCAGAGGTTACGTTCTCTACCTCTAACTCGCCAATTTTGACTTGGTTGTTGTTGATGCAGTCTAGTTTGACTTCACAACCAGAAGAGAACCCAAAAGGGTACTGCAGAGAACGTTCACCGCAACTGCGCTGGCAGTTAAGGCTGCTTTTGGCTTTTGTTGAATAGAAAATGAAGATTGTGAGGGCAATAGCAAACTTTGTATGGTATTGAAACATTTCTTGTTAATTGAAACGGGGATTTGACGGAACAGTGTAATCATCACCCTTCTGCAAATTATTAAAATAAGAATTAGTTTTTCTTATCCATTTTTAAGGAATTGGAAAAGGTGTAATATAAATAAGACGTTGACCATATGGTGTTGGATTGAATGAGAAATTAAGAGTTGTGATCGATGCCGTTGAGGAGCCATCTATCTCAATAAATGCTTATAGAGGCAGGAAACAGTAAAAGATTCAATTTTGTAGCAGTGAACAAAAAATAAAATATAAGGAAAAATATGGGATTCAGTATGCATACAATTAACTTGGAGGCTCTGCAAGCGTTGGAGTTATTAACCAAACAAGCGGAAGATGGAGCTTGAGATATTAATGGAAGTGTCATGTAAGAAAGAGAAGGGAGGGGTCTAAGTTAACTTTGTTTGCACTCCATACTTTAGAGAAGGATGGAATGAGAATAGGGAGCATCCCTTTGAGGGACATTTCTGAGAAGTTTCTTACACACGCTTGGACTCTGGCGTCTGAGACCTGTTCTGGGACTCCAACGTAAAGTACCTGCCTTCATTTCACAAATTTTTCCTCAATGACCAATATAGCCTTTGTTGAAATTTTCCTCTGCCCAAAAACGCCCCTACTCAGCACTGTAGCAAATTATGATTAAATTCTTTTCTAATTTCCACATAATATCACATAATAAAAGTTTATATTTAGTAACTCTTTATTAAAAATTTAATAAAATTTAATGCATTAATATTATTAGATACTATAATTTTTAGTAAAATACTATTTAAGAATATATATTTGCACAAGTTAAGAAAATATTATCAAATACTTGATCAATTACAAATAATAAAAAATTATATTTAGTAGATTTTTTATTAAAAATTAAAACTTAATACAATAATATTCTTAAAGAGTATATTTTTTAATAAAATAATAATAATATTATTATTATTATTATTTTCTTATATATACAAATATGCACAAATTAAGAAAATGATTATCAAATACTTGATTAATTAAAAAATATATATCTAATTTGTACAGAATTCCAAATAGTAAAAAATTATATTTATTAAATTTTTATTAAAAATTAAATAATTTAAGACATTAATATTATTAAATATTATAATTTTTAATAAAATGTTATTATTATTATTAATTTTTTAAATATACAATTTTTATCAAGTTAAGAAAATGATTATCAAATACTTGACCAACTAGTGAGAACTTATCTAAGATGAAAGGGGGGTAATCCAATTTAATATACAAAGTGTTCGCATTGAAATTTTGTCGTGCTCCTTCTAAATTCACTTAGGAGTCTCTAATTTGAAATTTTTTTTTAATGAATAACATTATAAAAATGCTTTTTAGGATGGTAGTCGTTGTTGTCTTCATCTATCAACAACGATGAGAGTGATTAAAATTTTAATAATCAATATCACTATAGGAACTAAAAGTGACAGTAACAAATAGTAATCGGTAGTGATGTCAATAATAATGCATTAGTGACTGAGCAACAACATAATAATCAAAATTTAGAATTTCATGAGAAATATTCTCAAGCCTTTAAAATGGAGCCAATCCACCTCTCTATCAGTCTATTGAAATAAGAATATAAAAATATTTGGGCATAAATCATTGTCAAAATTAATTTTGTGTGAAAATAATTGTTAATCAATATTTTAAGAAAGACACTCATTAGAAAATTTAAAGTAAAATTTGTTATCTAAAAGTTTAATATGCTTTTTTCTCATAATTTTTAATAAAAAACTATTTAATTAATTTCTTAATTCAATACCCTAAAAGTATTAATTAACAATACTCTTTGTTATCTTATCAAAATAATAATAATAATAATAATAATAATATAGTTAGAATGCTATATTTTTCTTTGAGAATAAAAAAAATTGAGCTAAGATCTTGATGGAGCATAATAATGACGATGAAAAGGTATAACTAAGGTTTTAGTCTTTAAAATATTTATAATTTTTTATTTACTCTTTCTTTTTTATTTTTAAACAAATTTTATATAATATTTTTTTCATTATCAAGTAATTTTAATTCATTTAAATACCATAATTTTTTTATTTAATCTTTTTAAATATTATGTGGTTTTTATTTGATCTTCATAAATAGTATGAATTTCTTAGTTAATTTGTGTAAAATAAGATATGTTTGGATATGCAATTTAATTAAATATTTACTTAATAAATTTATTTTTACTGAGAGTTTATTTCATAAATTTGACTATTAAATTTATTAAATAAGTTTTAGAAACTACTTATAAGAATCATGATATTTAGAGACAACATGAAGAAAAAAACTAACAAAAGGGACTATTTTATAATAAAAAATATTTTATGAAAACCTTATTTTAAAAAATAAATTAAATGATAAAAATATGATTAAAAAAAACTAAATTAAGGTAATGAGAAAAAAGTAACTTCGCAGTGATGGGAAGGGTTGACCCTGGTTGCCCTAACCTTTATAGGTGAAGTTGGATAGTGTTTATTACATTAGAAAGTAAAATATCATTCAATGTCGCCCTAATTTGTCTCTATCAAATTAAGGGTAATTAATAGACAATAGTAATGCAATTGCAATGATATGAATGAAACCGTGTGAGGATAATGGAAATCTGCAAACAATTTCAGTGACTCAGAAAACTAAAATTTCCTTTACATTTAAAAAATTGCAAGAGAAAGAAAAAGGTGAGACAATGACATGGACACGTTTTGGATTGCAACAGCCTGTGATCAATAGAAATGAAGGAAGAGGGGAATAAAGAGATATATGTGAAATTTATGCGTTACTTAGATTTTTTTTTCTAAATTATAGATATTTTTAGAAAAAAATTATTAAAGTTCAGAATATTAATAATACGGTAAAGTTAATTTTTTTATAGAAAATTATTTAATATATAATGTTTTAATTTAAAATTTTATATAGAAAAAATATACGTGCAATTTAAATCTATTATCCGATAGTATGTACTATGTAGATTGATAAAAAATATAAAAAATGTTAATTTTTTTTTAACATATTTGATTTAATATAAGAGTGAAAAGAAAGGGATAAAAATAGTTATTCAAAGAATGCTTAATTCTTAATATATATATATAGCCTCCCACCTTTATACCTTTATTGCACAAGGAACGAGGAGAGTGAGAGAAATTAGTGGGACTTTACTATTATTTTTTCATTTATTTTAAGCTAAGCACATTTAATCAAAAAATTAAAAGGTGATTAATGCTAAATTTTTTATAATTCAAATATTTATAGATATATAATTTAAGAATAAATGTGGACATTTTTAAATAAAAGATTGTTTTAAAATAAAATAATATGATATGATATTATTATTATTTATTTATAAATATTTTTATAAACTTATTTTATTTTATGAAAATTTGTTAACTTAACAATTATATTAACAAGATTTATTATCATAAAATATTATGAAAAATTTTAAGTTTTTTAAGACACTATATTTAATGTTAATCAATTCTATCTTAAATATGAGTAGTCAATAAAAGAGGGTGTATTTCATATAAAAGTAATCAGAGCTTATGATTTAACTCAAAACAAATGTATTTACTAAAAAGATTAAGCTAAAGTTTTTATTTTTTTTGCAAGTCTATTGAATCATTTAAAGAATATTTTTAGCATAAAAAGTTATATTATATTAAAAATTTAAGTTTGTTAATTTTTATATAAATTTATACTCATTAACTTATTTAGTAGGCTTGGACATCACTCGAATTTTGGCTAAAATCATCAAATTTGATAGGAATTGATTATGTTTATTTGTAAACTTATTCCATTCAATTAAAAACTGGAGTTAATCAGGTAACAAGTTTAGTGAGTTGTAGGTGGGTTGAAACGGATAACCACCTACGCCATTGTTCACCATCTACACTATCATTTATCAAAATAAAATAAAATTCAAATTATTTTTTGAGAGTTTTTGTAACCACCTCAGCTTAAGTTTCTAATTTAGGTAGAAAACTTTTTTTTATACAAGTTTCATCCCATCAAAAGACAACTCTAACAAAATAACACTTGTGAGGAAGTGAAAAAGTTTCATCTCCTACTGTGATAAAATATAAGTAATCCACATGGTATAAAGAAAATAACTTGTATGATTTATATACGTGGCATAATTTTACAAGTTTTATTTTTCGCAAAAATGAAATTTGTACAATTTTAACACATGGTGTGATACTATGATCCTATAAATTTTTATTTTTGACAAAGACGGTCAAAATGAGATTTTGACACGTACAAATTTCATATCTTATATGAATGAAATTTATTGATACTCATTTTTAACTCTAGTTAAAGTGATATAACTATATTTTATTATCTAAAAAGAAAATTCAGTATAAATAGTGAATTTGTAGAAAATTGAGAAAAATTATCAAGTTACTAATAATTTGTACTAATCGTTATAAATTTTGTTAGTTTAATATTGTGATTAAGATGAATTTTATATGTTGTTAATTTTGTTAGTTTATTTTATTTAAACAAGTTTAATTATTTTATGCATGTAAAATAAATTGTATTTTTTTTAATAAGCTAATATAAAAGATTGTGAATAATAATATTTTAAGTAAATTTGTATTAATATTTTTAGTTCAATTTTGTTAAATTGAAAATATGAATTGAAATGTTATTATATTGTTAGTTATTGTTAAATTAATTTATCTTTGAAATAATTTAGTAAAAAGTGAATAAAGTGTATTTTGTATTGGTTAAATTAGACAAAGTTAATTAATTTATTGAATTTGTATTATATTAGTTAAATGAATTGGAAATTATGAATATTATTTTTTATAAATGTAGGATGAGTGATATCATTGTTTTTGTAAATTGAAATGAAAGAATATTTAAAAGAAATAAATGTGTGACATTTGAAAAAAAGAAAAAAAAAAGATAAGAAGAGGGATAGTTTCAAGTTTTGAAAAGAAAAATTTATAAAGAGTTGAATCTTTGTCATAATCACATTATATCTAAATTAATTCATATATTTTTATTAATTCAAGTAATAGATATTAGATATATGTGACAATAAAGACATTAATTACATGATTAATGCCTATGAACAACAAAATATTACACATGTTATAAAATTACATTATGGTAGGTGAGAGTTTAAAAGTTGCCTCTCATACGTTAGAGTTAAATTTATCAATATCATCACCAAATAATGTAAAATGGTGAATATAGAAGTTATAGGAAATACAAATACATTTACTATAAGAATTTAAATTTAAATTTTTTGTTATGAGAGCATATATTTACTAAGTTATTGTAATTTAAAAGAAGTGAAGATCAATACAAATATGAAGATGAACAGATCAATACAGACAATGAAGATGTTGATAAAGGATAGATTCCATTAAACAGTTCGTCTGATACTAACTTAAATGGTGATTGATTCAAACTTAAATTTACTACAACAAAGTATTATTAATTATGAATAATGAATATTGAGATATGTGGGGATAAAATTCCTTTTTGGAATGTAAA